AGGGGCGAAAAGCAACCTCAAGGCAACCTTGCTCTTTGCTTACTTGACAACATCCGTCACGACCTTGTAACATGAGATCACCGAATCACACTACACGTTTGCATGTTACCATATATGGGAGTCAAAGAAGTAGAAGATATAGAGAAAACCATGCCACATGGCGTTCGGGGCTCAGTTCTTTGGGTACGAACCCAACTGAGCGGTGCCGGCAACAATAAAGTTGCTTCCGGAAAGAAAAGCCTCGGTGTCACGACTCTCTGTGCGAGACTCCTGCTGCACAGCCACTTGGCGAGCGTCCTGTACAGGGACACACGCGGCACATGACCCCCAGGCCTGGCCGGTGGGCTCAGAGCCCGCAGGCTGCTCGTCCTCCTTCACCGCTGGGCAGCCCTCCGCGGCGTGGACATGCTGCAGTTTCCATCTACCACGGAAGGACACCTTGGCTATGTCCGGTTTGGGACTCTTACAAACGCAGGTGCTGCGAACATGTGTGTGCAGGTTTTGCTGTGAACGTGACTCTCTGCTTCTCTAGGATAAATGCAACTGGTGTCAGTGTATTTAACTTAAGAAACTCCCAAACGGGCTTCCAGGGTGGCCGTCCCGCCGGCGGTGCACAGGCAGCTCGGGATCCCCGCGTCTGGGCGTCTCCTCCTTTGGCCACTCGGGCAGGCGGCGGTGGGAGCTCCTGACGTGCCAATTTGCATTTCTCCAACAGCTAGTGACGCTCCGACACCATCTATGCATCTTCTTTGGTAAATTTCTGCTCAAATCTTTTGCCCATTTTCTTACTGCTGAATTCAGAGAACTCTTTATATATGCAGGATACAAGTCCTCTGTCAGATGTGTGACTTGCAAATATTTTCTCTCCGTGAGTAACTTGTGTTCCCAAACTCTGAACAGGGATTTTTGCAGAGGGTAAGTTTTTAACTTTGATGAAGGAACCCTTGAGTTTTTACCAAGTGTAACTATTAACAGAAGCTAAAATTAACCAACATTTAACTTCCCTGCAAATAACAGATGGGATTAACCATTCGTCCCAACCGGCACTCTAGCTTTGTCCGACTGTTGGCCTGTGCTTTCTAAAAATGCAACCCGCGAAATAGACGCTATTGTCACAATTATTATTTTATCGCAGAATAACTTTATTATTTCACAAGCCCGTTTGTTGGACCCACCTCCGTATTCACCTGTTACAGATCTTCCAGCTTTGCTCCCTCCTTCCTGCAGTCCATCCATCAGAGGTTTCCATCAGAAACCCCTCTGGGGAAAGTCTCCTGGTGGTGAGCCCTCCAAGTTCCCACATGTATGGAAACATCTGCATTTTGTCTTTGCTCCTGAAGGACCGTTTTGTTGGAAACACAACGTTACATTGACGGTTTGCTCAGTGCTCTGTCAGCCTCCCTCCCGGTTCCGCAGTTGCCCTAATTGCCGATGTTGATGTAAAACAGGCAGTGAGTCAGGCTCTTCCCTTCTCTTCGCTGCGACGAGATCCCTTCCCTGGGACCCTGGTGTCCACGCTTCTCCCCGCAGGCCTGCCGCCCACGTCCCTCCGCCTCCCCCGTCCTGGATGGCGGGCTGGACGAGCTCCTCTCTTCGCCGCCGCCGGCTCACAGCTCTAACACCGTAGCATTTCCAGGGCTCCCTTCATCTGTTTTTGGCACTTTCTGCGACCAGACGCCCGGACACGCGGCCCTCCGTGAACTTCTTCATGACTTAAAGTTGCACTTGATTTTCCAGACACACTGGGTCGCTTCTGATAATCTCTCATTATTCACTATTGTGATTCCATCTTATTTGAAAATATTTCGTAAGAACTATCTATGTTACATGCTTGATTCATTCCAACAGCTGAAGCCACTCTGGGGCCTGTGTGGTCAGCTCGGCGGACAACGGACACCACGGGCTGGCGCCTGAGACCACGGATGCGGGCTCCTCCCGGCCGTGGCAGCTGTGGGTCCGAGACCCAGGAGCGGGCAGGGCCGGTCCTCCTGAGGCCTGTCCCCGGCACGTGGGGGGCGTCCCTTCCCCGTGTCCTCACGTGGTCGCCCCCCCCCAACCCCCGTGCAGGTCTGCGTCCTGGCCTCCCCTTCTTGTGGGGACACCAGCCTGCATCAGGGCCCCCAGTGCCTTCCTTTACCTCAGTCACCTCCGCAAAGGCCCACCTCCGAGCACACCCTGCGGCCCTAGGGGTGGGACTCAGGTGTGGCTCCGGGGACACGGTTCGGCTCATAACGGGGCCTGTTTTGTCATTCCTGCAATTGTTGCTGTGTCCTCAGCTTTCCACTCAGCAGCCCCGTGACTCACGGGGTGACCTCCGACCGTGGGCTCACGTGGGCCTCTCGTTCTGTGCGCAGCACAGAGGCCCCACTGTCCTGTTCCCTCAATGAAGGGCCCTGGCAGGTCTGGGATCGCAGGTCAGCCAGCCCTAAACTTGTTCCCCATTCCAGCACATTCCACTAGGGCGGTGGGGGGAGGCGACGGCCGGCAGGGAGCCAGGCCAGTTCCTTTGTTTATTCTTTGCAAGGTAGCAAAGCATTTTTCTTTTCCTTGAGGGAAAGACAGAGAGAGCACGCTGGAGCAGGGGAGGGGCAGAGGGAGGGAGAGAGAAGCCCAAGCAGGCTCTATGCTCAGCACCATGCCAGACACGGGGCTCGACCCCACCACCTTGGGATCATGACCTGAGCCGAAATCGAGAGTCAGACACTTAACCAACAGCCACCCAGGCGCCCTGGAAGCCAAGCTTTTTAAATCATGGGTTTCCCACGTTGAACTGTTCTATACCGGGAGAGCCGTCCGGGCTGGCTAAGCTCCAAGAGCAGATGTGCCCCAAGGCCCGCATGTCCCGAGGCGACTCCAGGGCGGGACCCAGCCTCGCTGGTCTGCAGGGAGAGCCGTGAGGGGACAGGGCAAGGACCTGGGCATCACCCCTGCACCTCCAGTGCACCCCAGGCTCTCAGGTTTGCCATCTGTACAGGGGCGCAGTCAAGTGACCCGCAGCCTCTCCAGCCTTCTGGAACACACCACGGAAGGCCCTGTGGTCAAGCCACAGACCCACAGAAACGCCTCCCGTCTCGGTCGCAGACACCTTCTGGATGCACCCAAATCGGGTGCGAGGCCGACGTCCAGGACCACTCGGCTCCCCTTCCGTGCACAAGGACCCGCACTCGGGGCTGGCTGGGGCCCCTGCTCTCCCCGCGTCATCGCCCGGCCCCCTCATGCATCCCTGAGTCCGGTCCGCTGTCCCCGCCATGCTCCTCCCTGGCCCTCAGTGTGCAGCACAGGGCTCCAGCCGCAGAGGCCGGAGGGCGCACGGCGGCCTCAGGACCTGGACGCCCCACCTCTCAGGCCCCAGCAGGGTGGGGTCGCTCTTCCCCAGCCTCACCCTGGACTCTCTGCCAGCCCTGCCCCTCTCACCCGCTCCCCTGGCCGCATTTCTGCCCGGTCTTCAGGGCCACTCGGTCGTACCACTGGCTCCCATGGTGGGGCTGCCCTTTCCCAGCTTCTATTATGACTTAGTGGGGGCACCTGATTAACTTCCAGCCCATGGGAGGAGACGCAAGGAGGGGCATCCTCGGAGGGAGTGGATGTGCCTACTTATCCCTTCTCTTCATCTTGCTACCTGGGACATGAGCGCAATGGTGGGAGTCCTGCAGCCATCCTGGACCATGAGCACCGCCACGGAGTAGGGGGCCACAAGCCACGTGGGTCCTCGAGGACCACAGGGCCACCCTGCCGCACTGGACCACTTGCCACAGAAATCTCTTCAGTAAGAGTCATAATGCGTGTTTTCTCTACAACATGCTACTCGGGGTTTCTTCCAAATACAACCAGATCCAGTTCTGACTTCTACACAGAAAACACTTAACTGATATGTGTTTACTTGCTTCGTGTCGTTTCCTACAGCAGACCGTGAGCGCTGGGAGGAGAGGCCTCTGGTCTCCCTTGGTCACCTGTGCATCTTTGCACTTAGTACACGGCCAGGCCCCAAGGGGGCTCCTGATAGACATTATGGAAGTAAGTGGGGCAGGGTGCAGCACGTGATCAGGGTGAGGGGTCAAAGTGTAACAACAGTCAGGGCTCAGCGTGTGACCAGGATCGAGGGCCAGCGTGTGACCGGGGCCAGGGCTCAGTCTCCACTGGAGGTGGCACAAGCAAGGGGCAGCAGTGCTCACGGACAGTGGGGAGGTGAATGTCAACCAGTCAGGCACGTTTCATCGGACAAGGACAGCCCATCCCTTCCACCCACAGAGAAGACCAACGGTGGCTTCGAGAGCATGTGGAGAAGGATGCGAGGTTTGCGGAGCGGACGGAAGGCTCGCGGGGCGGGGCCACCTGAGTAAGGCGGCCACTGACAAACGGCACCACCTGCGACTAGAGGGAGAGCAGGCTGCGAGGGTGGCCAGGCCGTGTCGCGGGGGGCAGCTGGCTGAATCGCCGGAGAGTTCTGGCTCCCTTCCGTAGACAAAGTCACCGACACGCTGCTAGCTCACGGTGAAAATGGAAAACCAGAAGAGGGTCCGCCCAACGTGCCAGTGACGCGGGTCCGGCCCCTCCTCGGTGCGGGGGCTTCCCCGCGAGCCCTGGCACCAATATGCTGTCCGGCCCGTGCCGATCCTTCAGGCTTCCGCGTCAAGGATTTTATCCACAAGGGTCAGGAGAAGCAGGAAAAGGGGAGGCGGGCAGAGGGCACGAGGCCCAAGACCAGCGAGGCCCTGGGGACCCCTGCCCTCCCCTCCTGGCCCCCAACAGCCTCCCAGGCTGTGTGGCTGCAGCCCAAGCCCGGTCTGAGAGGGCCAAGGGCTGGCCCCAGCTCCCGGAGGGACCCCCCTCCCCCCCCCCCCCCCCCCCCCCCCAGGGGCACAGGAGGTAACAGAGAGAGCAGATCTGAAAACCCAGCAAGCGCTCAGGGCTCCCTGCCGGGGCCGAACACAAAGGCACAGCCTGTGTGAGGAAGAGGACCGGGCTCCGTCTCATTTACTCGTGAGCATCACCACCGGCAGGGCCTTCTCCGTTGTTATTTTACGCTTACGTAGGAAAAATAATTCTTTTTGCAAGAAACATCAGTAGGTACAAAATGGTATCCCGCCCCATACAGTACCAGGTGACATAAATGCACACGTGTGTCTGTCAGACCACAGATCTAACACCGGGCAGAAATGACCGCAGGCTGCAAGACGGGGGCGTCCTGGGCAGAACCAAGAAAACCACAGGAGCCCAGCCCGCAGTGTCCCCACGTCCAGGAGGGGGAGGCTTCCGGCGGGCGCTCCGGGTCACCCTCTGGGGACCTTCCTGACACCCCGCTGAGCCACCCCTCCAGGTCTGGGGACACCGAACCCTCTATTGACCCCCTGTGGCCGCAGGGGGGTGCTGGCTCTGCCCTCCAAGGCACTCGGCACAGCAGGTGAGAGCGCGGGACTGGAGCGGAGGCCGGGCCCCGCCAGCGCCCCTCTGCGTCTTCCAGCCACAACGTCCCTGAGTAGACTTCTGTCCAGGACCACCGACCGGCCCCAGAGCCTTTCCCTGCACGAGTGTGTCCTGTGTCCTTGCCGGCTCCATCGAGGCCCCAACTCCGCCCTGCTGTCCCCCAGCCTGCCTCTCAGAAGGGCTGGCGTCCCCGCTCCTCGTGCAGCCCTCCAGGGACCAGACCCTAGACCTCCTCTTCCACCTTCAGGATCATCCCTGAGAAGACCTCCAGGCCCGGGTGGGGGCCCCGGGGGCTGCCCTGGGGGCCTCTGGTGGGCCCAGAGGCCACTCCCCCAGCAGGGGTGCCGTCCAGGACTGTGGGCGAGGCTCCCCGGGCCGGGCAGGCCTCCACCAGCTTCTCGAGGGTCCGGTTGAGGGCCTCGACGCCGTCGGCCAGCCGCTGGCTCTGCTCGGCCAGCCTCTGGAGCAGCAGGTTCTGCTGGGCCATCAGTGCACTCTGCTGCTGAGACCAGTGGGAGAGCAGGGCGCCCTGTCGCCGGTGGGCGTCCAGCAGTCGCTGCTCAAACTCGGAGGCCTCCGCTGCGGGCCTCCCGGGGGGCGGGGGTGGCACAGTGGAGGGCGGGGAGGGTCCAAGGGCCCCTGGGAACGCAGCTGCAGGGGGCACCGAGGCCGGGGAGGCTGGCGGGGAGGGCGAGGAGGCAGGCGCAGGGACAGTTCCTCGTAGGTCCAGGGGGTCAGGTTCGGGCAGGCTTGGCCCATCCAGGGTCCGCAAGGGTAGCCACAGGCAGCTGGGGGCCTCGTCTTCCTCGTCCGCTGGTGAAGGGGGACAGGAAATGTCAGCCTCCAGCAGCCATGACTCTGGGGCAACCCCTCAGAGGGATGGGGAGGTGACGGGTGGGGGCCCTCTGCACACGGCCCTACTTTGGTCTCCTGATGCCCCTCCATGGTGGGCAGCAGCACCCGTATGAGGAAACCAGGACTCAGAGGTGAGTCTTCCTCTAGGAACACTTAAGTCCGAACCTCAGCCTGGCAACCGCAAAGCCCCGGTGCTTGTCCCCCATGCCGCCATTTGTCTACACTCCACCCAGCTGGCTGCGGTCTACCGTCCAGTCTGTCATCTGTTCTCCTACGCATACCACCCACCAATCTATCTGCCCATCAATTTCTTCATCCGTCATCCATCCATCTCCTTCCTTGTTTTCATCTTTCCTTATACTCATCCACCAATCTTCCTTCCATCCATCCATCCACCCATGCCTCCGTCCGTCTATCCATTCACTATCCATCTATCGTCCGTCTACTCATCCATCTACCCATGCCTCTGTCCACACATTCATCCACCGTCCATCCTCTCTCGACCCATCCATTTACCCAGCCCTCTGTCTACCCATCCATCCATCATTCATCCTCCATCCACCCATCCATTTACCCCTGCCTCTATCCATCCATCCATTCACCCACCCACCCACACATCATTCATCCACCCATTCATTTACCCACACCTCTGTCCACCCGTCCGTCCATCCATCCATCCATCATCATCCTTCCTCCATCCACCCACCCATTTACCCCTGCCTCTATCCACCCATCAATCCACCACCCATCCACCCATCCATTTACCCACGCCCTGTTCACCTATCCATCCACCCACCCATTTACCCCTGCCTCTATCCACCCATCAATCCACCACCCATCCACCCATCCATTTACCCACGC